CGCCGCCGCCACCGACGCGTCAGCGCCGGAGCGCCAGGCGCGGCTTGGCGTCGTCGCCGGCGTGCGCTTGACGCAGCGGCCGGGGCGGCTTCTCCTCGGGGGCGTGGCGCTTCTGGTGCAGCGCCAGGTGGTCGGAGCGCGAGAAGCAGCGGTCGCAGTCGCGGCACTTGAACGGCTTCGCTCCCGTGTGCTTCCGGTAGTGGCGCGTCAGCTCGTCGGAGCGCGCGAACCGCCACAGGCAGCCCTCCCAGGAGCACTTGTACGGCTTTTCGCCTGCAACCGGAAAGAACACAGCGGTCAGTGGGGCGGTCGCTCAAGGGGCCGGCGACACCTGTTGCCGGCAGGGACGACTACAGGTGTCTTTCTGACCTATTCTCACTCGCATGTCCTACATTCACTCGCAAACCACAACACATTTACAGCAAACCTTCCAATTCCTTCTACATTTACACTCATGCATAGTGCAATACCCATATTAGTAATAAATACCTTATAAATAATTGCAAAAGTATTGAATCATAAAATAGTATATTTAAAACTGAAAGAATAAACTTGTCTTTATTTCACCAATCACTCACGATCAATACACACTGCAACAAAGCTGTCTAAATGAAGGATTATTTATATTAACCTAAAAATTTACAAAATTAAATTACTGAATTAATTAATAAATTTCTCATTCTTCATAATTCCATTCATTAACCCTTCTACTTCATTGTCATGTTTATTACGAAATAGTTCAATCTAAATAAATTCGAGACATGACCAGGATCAATATAATAATGTTGGCGGGTAAACGACAAGAAAAATAATATTTATGTCATCAACATTATGAAAAGTATAACACGTTAAACCTAAGGTATAGAGCTTAAGTTTAACAAGAGGAAAAAATGTGAGTGGAGAGCCGTCTAAGACGGTAACGTCAACCGCGCGATTACACCGCTCGCGCCCGCAGCAACTGCCCGTCGCCCGCGCCCTCAAGAGCAGTGGATACGGGGGCGGCGAGGGCGCTGCGGGGAGTCGCTAGCCCCCGCCCCCCTCCACCCGTGCCCCGCTGCGCACCCGGGGCTGCCGCGGCGGGGGCCTCATTAACGACGCAGGGGCTCCGGACCCCCCCGGGCGCGCAGGCGGGGTCCCGCGCTCGACTCCCCGCTCCACCCCCTGCCTCCACCCGGACGAGCTCACACACCCAATGAGCGTTCGGCAGGCCTTTCCATTGGAGATGATCTTACGTGCCGCCACCTCGAATTTAAATGTAATTTTTCTTCCCCTGAATAGTAAGTAGTACTGCAAGTACAACCTGGCGGGATCGTAGGTCAGGTTTCCCACCCATGTCACGGCATTTTCCGCCACTTTCAAGGCTCACTGTTGTAGTTTCAGTCCTAGAAAGTCTGACTGACGTTTCCGGAAGAAGAAATATGTCATGGCAAGTGACAAGCTTTATTCCCATATTTGGGCCAGTATTTACTGTTAATAAGGCCAGTAAACATTGTTACTCGTCTGAAAAGGAGACTGAATGGACCTTATTAAATTGATTGTGAATAAATATGTCCATCTCCATATTAGACATTCCTTAAATTAGTTGCTCCTGTTTCGAAGCTACATTCGTTAAATTCGTTACTCAGAGGCATACCTTGCATATTTTATAATGGGCAAGATCTGTTACCTCAATGGAATCAGGCCGCGAACGAACGTACTATTACATTATGCAGGAAAGTGTTATTCAAATTTTACTCCGAGTCAGAGGTGGCTTTCAGGCTTGAATAACAAAGTAATAAACATGTTAAGGTCGCTTTCTATGTAGCCGATAAACGTGAAGATCCTCATCCCTCCTAGATGCGAAGGACGTCCCTTCGCGCGCGGATCCCCCAAGCCGCTGCGGATGTTGACGGGCTGATGTGTGGATTTCCGGTGCCGGCCTCGGGCCCTCGGCGGGCGCGACATGGAGATGCGCGCAAGGCGATGGGGGGGGGGGAGACAGGAGCGGCGCGAAGTGGGGATAGCTTGTGGAGGAGGCGGGGGGGGGGGCGAGTACCTCCCGCGGATGGGGCGATGCGGGGAGCTTTGCGTGATAGATGGGCAACCGCCCCCGCCACTGACGTCCCACCCCGCTTCGCTGCCACTCCACGTCGCCCCTCCGCCGCAGAATCTCTGCCTTGAGAGTGACCGCCCCCCTTGCTACACGCTCTGCTGCCCATGGAATAATTCGATTTAACTTCCTGGTCTCTGGATCTACGTACTTTACGGGATTCTTCCAGATGGATAAGGTGGATGTTGGTTTGGGTTGTGTAATATGCAGTTAAACAGATATCAGTCTGAAGGTGAAGAAGTAGCCCCATTTATCTGTTTAAGATAGAGAGAATATTACTTTTGATATCTTATAGAAACATAAGATGCCTTGTGGAACACCCAGAAGTAATATTGCACAGTCTAGTTCAAAATCGTTGTTTATATTTATTTTACAATACGATTACATATTTTATCATAAAGGTTGTGAAATGACTATTTTTATATTAGAAAATGGGTCATTTTACCGTCATTTATTCATTCCAAACATACTTATTGCAGCCTCTGCCCTCCGATTTACAAATAACCAAATACTGAAACACTTGTAAATAAAGGACTCCAATTTTTCTAATTTTAAAAAGACGTTTTCTGACATGTTCTGACATCTGTGTCAATACTTATAATGCAAAAGCTGAGCTAAAATAGCAAGAACCTCGACAGCTCTGAATGCTCTATTCCATTACTCTGTGATACATTGGTATAAATTGTGCACCGACACTCGTATATCACTGCACACGGTTCAGCTACATAAATCTGCCACCCTTGATCAAACGACAATCACGTACAATTAGCAAAGGAGCAGCTTCGTCGCATCTGTTCTCGTTTAATTCGCCGCTTCGGAGTTCCAGCCAGCAACGCAGCCTCTCTCGCATCACTAGAATGGCAAAGCGCGCAAGGTATGAAGAGAAGCGAACGTTTCGCCCACGATTTCCCCCGGGTAATTTCATTTAATTTCTCCGCCAAACGGACGCTC